GCATCAAGGCTGAATGAGATCTTCCTGACACAAGATGATGATTGTGTCATCTCGCCAGAAGCTCCTCGTAAAATACGTCGAGCTTTATTGTAAACAGTGAATGCAATTTCCTTCAGAATGATTAGCTCACTTAGTGTGGGACTAGTAACCCTAAAAACAGCATCAACTGTCACAATCTGCAAGACCAACTTTGGTATGCTGAATCCCGAAAGAGTCAAAACATTTGAAAATGACTCGTCTACAGCAGCTGGGTAACTCAGGGCTTTTGCAACTTGGTTGTGCATCATTGATCTCCTTTCTTTATCTGAAGACCGAATGACTGATCCAATAGCAATGGAAGATTCAACCACAGTCTTCAGAACTGCAAGAGGCTCTGGGAAGGGGCACACCACATAAACTACCTAAATTCCATAAACAGGAATGACGTTCAGCAGTTAGTTGAATGCAATGTCTGCGCTACGACATGAAAGTCAAATACCGGAAGAACGGAAGGGGCAAATGAATATTTCCAAATACAAAAAAAAAATTACAATTTGTACTACCAAAAGTTACAATGTATCTAATATTGTTCAACTGTTGCATGGAAGGTGAAGCATTTTAATATTTGCAATTTTTATGATGATCATGTTTTTGTACAATGTTCCTAGAATGACAAGAATGTAACAATTAGTGCACAACATCAATTGTACATTTTATAATATCACGTCTAGCACTGCAATATCAACTGCAAATTAGTCAACAGTACATGATAAAGATTCTTCGATTCGAATATCTATTTTACACACTTCAGTAACAAAAGGTAGATTTTGTATTCAAAAGATTTTCCTGTAGAATAAAATTAGGCAGTTGCATGATTTGTGAACATAAATCTTTAAGAAGAAAATCTTTCAATTATAATGAACAATATGCATGAAATTCACAACTTACAGTGCATGGCCCACCATTTCCATCCTTTGCATTTACAGTTGGAGATGAACCAAATTTTAAGCCTTTGAGAACCTTAGAAAGGGTCTTTAGATAGCTCGTCAGATCCCAGCCATTTGATAGACAAAGAAAATAATCACTGATTGATCCCAGCATAGATGCATTATTGGTATCTATCTTCATCGACTGAGGGCAATCGAGAAGGACAAAACCAGGAGAAATTTTCCCAGAATCAATCTCCATCTCATTTCCAAGACTTTGGGGTGCATGGGTTCCCAGCTTGCAGGTTTCATAAACTGGGAAAAGACCCGACAAACACATCAGTAGAAGATAACTTCCAAAGCTAGATTTACATAGATTTCTAAAACATTTAATATAATAATCTATTAATATAAGCAAGCTGATGTCAACACATTAAACTTAGAGTTAAACTGATACAATAACTTACTGCTGTTTTTTTTCTTTTCTTTTTTTTCTAAT